GGTTAAAATTTTAGTAAAAACCATTGGCACATGAAAAAACACATTTCAGGGGAGGGAGAGGGGGAAATGAGCTGATATCAAGGGCTCAAGTAGAATGAAAATACTTTGAAAATGATGGCAACATATGTACAAATGTGCTTGACACAATGGATGAATGTATGGATTGTGATGAGATATAAGAACCCCCAATAAAAGTATTTAATTTAAAAAAGAAAGAAAAAACACATTTCTTGATTTGTTTGTTTTATAGCACACAATATCAGCTTTACACTGGTCTCCTCGAGTAAAGGACTTGATCGTATCTGGGGATGAGAAGGGAGTCATTTTCTGTTACTGGCTTAACAGAAATGACAGCCAGCACTTCTTTGTGGAACCCAGGATAATTTTCTGCCTCACGTGTTCACCTCATCAGGAGGACTTGATAGCCGTTGGGTAAGTACTACACCAGCTGAGCGGATGATTTGTTTTGCATTGGCTTTACTTTCTCAGGCCTCTCTTCAAGGAGATGATTTAGAACACTGGTTCTTAACCTTCCTAATGCCATGACCCTTTAATACAGTTCCTTGTGCTGTGGTGACCCCCCCAGCCATAAAATGATTTTCATTGCTACTTCATAACTGTTATTTTGCTACTGTTAAGAATCAGGCGACCCCTGTGAAAGGGTCATTCAACACCCCCCCCAAGGGGTCACGACCCACAGGTTGAGAACTGCTGATTTAGACAGACTCATGCTTTAGCATCACTTTTTTTCCCTTTGTTCTCCAGGTCTTCACTTTCTCTTCGGCTTCCTTTCTTTGTGTCTGTTCCCTTGGCTGCAATGGTACCATCGCCCTTTCCTCGTTTGTTGTATCTGCCCCGCTGTAGGCTGGAAAAGGCCTCTGACGGGAAACTCAGCTCCCTCTCGCTGGTCGCTGGTCATGTGCTTGCTTCCCTGCTAGCTTGGGAAAGTGATAGACACGAGTCTCCCTCCCCACGGGTGACTCCGTTGTTCTGTAAGCTGCCTGGGTAGCCGCGCCCTTTCCTCTGTCCTTACTGTGCTTTTCTCCCAGCGATGCCCAGTCAGTCACTTTGAAGACTCTTGACAGGAAGGACTTCGCCAGCAGGTTAGAAGAAAAGGTGTTTGGAGCAGGTTGAGAAGACTGGGGGTTCGCAGTCTGTGTGAGGGAGTGGAGCTAACCATGGAGCAGCTTTTTCTCCACAAAAGTCACTGTAAGAATGTACATAGACATGAAGCCAGAGGAGGAGATGGATGGGGTATTAAATGGAATATACCATGGGCAGATCTGTATGCTAATGGCAGTGTAGCCAAAGAGGGAGCCATTGTTGCCGGACTAAAAGGTGATACATACCAGAGGGACATTGTTGAGAAATTGAGAGGCTTGACGCCAGATCACGAGGACAAGGGACTGAGAATATGCACTCTGGCACAGGTATATTTGTTTGAGGAAGTCAGTCCCATTTGTGCTTGAGAATAGAACTGATAATGGGCAGACGGTGTGAAAATGGTTGCCTCAGAATGAGGAAGTGAACATTAGGGGACGATTGTAGGACCCGATGGTCCCTGTTGAGAGCCAAGCTAAAGATGGTGGTTATGAATTTAAATTACCTACTCAAGGTGGTTGGAAAAGGACATGTTTGGTGTGTTTCTGGAGTACTGTAAATACCTACAGCACAGGACCAGTCAGCTAAGGGTGTTTTCAAGAGAGTGATGATCCGTGGGGGGGGGGGGGGGGGGGTGGGGGGGGGGGGGGGGGGGGGGGGGGGGGGGGGGGGGATTCGATGCCAGGTGAGGGTGAGCAGTAGTTAAAGTGTCAAGGGGTTGTTGAAGGTCTGTCAAGTGGAAGGATTGCCACCGCAGGGCCGCCAGAGAGTGAGCGAGCAGAAAGGTGTAGCATGCAGGGGTCTGAAAGTGAGCCAGGATATAAAATATGTGCACCTTTGCAAAGGGTCTTCTGGGCAGAGGGAGCGACAGAGACTGGGGTCCGAACGATTGTTTTCAGAGGCAGTTCATCACAGTGATGTTTCCCTAAAGGTCTGACATTGCAGAATGGATCTGGAGTTTTAGTTCTGTACCTTGATTTTTTTTTTTTTAATTTAGTAAGTATGTCTTCAAAGATAGATGTAGTCTGTGATTTCATTGTATCGGTTTTTGTTTTTTTTTAAAGCTGCAGTGGCATTCCCTCCCCTGGCCTGAATGGTGTACTGTGGAGGAACATGAGTAGGTACAACCACTAGGAGAGCAGTTTTGTACTTATTAGTAACGCACAGGTGCACATGCTTTATGTACTGGCAATTCCATGATGAGGCAGAGGACTGGGAGTTGTCCTTAGTTTGAACAAAAACATAGTAACACGTTTACGTTTGTAACAGCAAAGAATGGAAGACTTTCAAAAGGAAAATGCAGAAAGTGGCATATGCACACAATGAAATAATTACAGTAGCGTAAATGACTGCAGGCCAGGAGTGGAGACCCAAAGCCCATCTGTAGACAATTGGACATCCCCACACAGAAGGGTCACAGGGAAAGGATGAGCCAGCCAGGGTGCAGTATAGCACCGATGAAACACACATTACTGTAGTTCGTTAATGCTCCCCACCACACACATGCCCCATCACGACCCCAGTTCTACCTTACAAATCTGACTAAACCAGAGTATGTACACTGGTACAGATAGGAGCTCTCAACACAGAGAATCCAGGACATACAAACCCCTCAGGACCAATAATGAGAGTAGTGATACCATGAGGGTAGAGGAAAGGTAGGGGGAGAAAGGGGGCGCCTATCACAATGATGGATGCACAGCCCCCACCCCCAGGGGGATGAACAGCAGAAACATAGATGAAGAGAGACTGGACAGTGTAATATAAATGAAAATAAAAATGATTTATAAATTATCGGGTTCATGAGTGGGAGGGAGGGAAGGGGGAAAAGAGCTGATACCAGTGGCTCAAGTAGAAAGAAAATGTTTTGTAAATGATGGTGGCAACATATGTATAGATGTACTTGATACAACTGATGTATGAATTGTTATAAGAGCTGTAAGAGCCCCTAATAGAATCG